AAAAGTATTTCATAAGATTATTTCATTCATTCAGATCTAGGATGTGTTATTTTAGTGTTCCCTTAATTTTTTTGAGCAGTGTGTATACATATATATACAGTGGGGGAAAAAAGTATTTAGTCAGCCACCAATTGTGCAAGTTCTCCCACTTAAAAAGAAGAGAGAGGCCTGTAATTTTCATCATAGGTACACGGATTTTTAATGAATTTATTTGCAAATTATGGTGGAAAATAAGTATTTGGTCACCTACAAACAAGCAAGATTTTCTATTAATGGCACCTGTTTGAACTTGTTATCAGTATAAAAGACACCTGTCCACAACCTCAAACAGTCACACTCCAAACTCCACTATGGCCAAGACCAAAGAGCTGTCAAAGGACACCAGAAATTGTAGACCTGCACCAGGCTGGGAAGACTGAATCTGCAATAGGTAAGCAGCTTGGTTTGAAGAAATCAACTGTGGGAGCAATTATTAGGAAATGGAAGACATACAAGACCACTGATAATCTCCCTCGATCTGGGGCTCCACGCAAGATCTCACCCCGTGGGGTCAAAATGATCACAAGAACGGTGAGCAAAAATCCCAGAACCGCACGGGGGGACCTAGTGAATGACCTGCAGAGAGCTGGGACCAAAGTAACAAAGCCTACCATCAGTAACACACTACGCCGCCAGGGACTCAAATCCTGCAGTGCCAGACGTGTCCCCCTGCTTAAGCCAGTACATGTCCAGGCCCGTCTGAAGTTTGCTAGAGTGGATTTGGATGATCCAGAAGAGGATTGGGAGAATGTCATATGGTCAGATGAAACCAAAATATAACCTTTTGGTAAAAACTCAACTCGTCGTGTTTGGAGGACAAAGAATGCTGAGTTGCATCCAAAGAACACCATACCTACTGTGAAGCATGGGGGTGGAAACATCATGCTTTGGGGCTGTTTTTCTGCAAAGGGACCAGGACGACTGATCCGTGTAAAGGAAAGAATGAATGGGGCCATGTATCGTGAGATTTTGAGTGAAAACCTCCTTCCATCAGCAAGGGCATTGAAGATGAAACGTGGCTGGGTCTTTCAGCATGACAATGATCCCAAACACACCGCCCGGGCAATGAAGGAGTGGCTTCGTAAGAAGCATTTCAAGGTCCTGGAGTGGCCTAGCCAGTCTCCAGATCTCAACCCCATAGAAAATCTTTGGAGGGAGTTGAAAGTCCGTGTTGCCCAGCGACAGCCCCAAAACATCACTGCTCTAGAGGAGATCTGCATGGAGGAATGGGCCAAAATACCAGCAACAGTGTGTGAAAACCTTGTGAAGACTTACAGAAAACGTTTGACCTGTGTCATTGCCAACAAAGGGTATATAACAAAGTATTGAGAAACTTTTGTTATTGACCAAATACTTATTTTCCACCATAATTTGCAAATAAATTCATAACAAATCCTACAATGTGATTTTCTGGATTTTTATTTCTCATTTTGTCTGTCATAGTTGACGTGTACCTATGATGAAAATTACAGGCCTCTCTTGTCTTTTTAAGTGGGAGAACTTGCACAATTGGTGGCTGACTAAATACTTTTTTCCCCCACTGTATATATATATATATATATATATATACAGTGAGGGAAAAAAGTATTTGATCCCCTGCTGATTTTGCACGTTTGCCCACTGACAAAGACATGATCAGTCTATAATTTTAATGGTAGGTTTATTTGAACAGTCAGAGACAGAATAACAACAACAAAAATCCAGAAAAACGCATGTCAAAAATGTTACAAATTGATTTGCATTTTAATGAGGGAAATAAGTATTTGACCCCTTTGCAAAACATGACTTAGTACTTGGTGGCAAAATCCTTGTAGGCAATCACAGAGGTCAGACGTTTCTTGTAGTTGGCCACCAGGTTTGCACACATCTCATCCGCTCACCACGTCTCACAAAGCCACAGCAGACAGAGACAAATCTCCACCGGTCTAATGTCCATTGCTCATGTTTCTTGGCCCAAGCAGGTCTCTTCTTCTTATTGGTGTCCTTTAGTGGTGGTTTGATGTCGAGATGTGTCTGTGACTTGAACTCTGTGAAGCATTTATTTGGGCTGCAATTTCTGAAGCTGGGAACTCTAATGAACCTATCCTCTGCAGCAGAGGTAACTCTGGGACTTCCATTCCTGTGGCGGTCCTCATGAGAGCCAGTTTCATCATAGCGTTTGATGGTTTTTGTGACTGCACTTGAAGAAACTTTCAAAGTTTTCCGTATTGACTGACCTTCATGTCTTAAAGTAATGTTGGACTGTCGTTTCACTTTGCTTATTTTAGCTGTTCTTGCCATAATATGGACTTGGTCTTTTACCAAATATGGCTATCTTCTGTATACTCCCCCCACCTTGTCACAGCACAACTGATTGGCTCAAACGCATTAAAGAAGGAAATAAATTCCACAAATTAACTTTTCAGAAGGCACACCTGTTAATTTAAATGATTTCCAGGTGACTACCTCATGAAGCTGGTTGAGAGAATGCCAAGAGTGTGCAAAGCTGTCATCAAGGCAAAGGGTGGCTATTTGAAGAATTTCAAATATAACACATATTTTGATTTGTTTAACACTTTTTTGGTTACTACATGATTCCATATGTGTTACTTCATAGTTTTGATGTCTTCACTATTATTCTACAATGTATTATTTTTTTAAAATAATGATAAACCCTGGAATGAGTACCTGTGTCCCAACTTTTGACTGGTAGTGTATATACTTATAAATGTTGTTGTTTTTTAAGAGAAATGCCATGGCTACCCACGCCCAATACAGTCGTGGTCAAACGTTTTGAGAATGACACAAATACAAATTTTCACAAAGTCTGCTGCCTCAGTTTTGATGATGGCAATTTGCATATACTCCAGAATGTCATGAAGAGTGATCAGATGAATTGCAATTAATTGCAAAGTCCCTCTTTGCCATGAAAATGAACTTAATCCCAAAAAAACATTTCCACTGCATTTCAGCCCTGCCACAAAAGGACCAGCTGCCATCATGTCAGTGATTCTCTCGTTAACACAGGTGAGAGTGTTTACGAGGACAAGGCTGGAGATCACTTTGTCATGCTGATTGAGTTAGAATAACAGACTGGAAGCTTTAAAAGGAGGGTGGTGCTTGAAATCATTGTTCTTCCTCTGTTAACCATGGTTACCTGCAAGGAAACACGTGCCATCATCATTGCTTTGCACAAAAAGGGCTTCACAGGCAAGTATATTGCTGCTAGTAAGATTGCACCTAAATCAACCATTTATCGGATCTTCAAGGAGAGAGGTTCAATTGTTGTGAAGAAGGCGTCATGGCGCCCAAGAAAGTCCAGCAAGCACCAGGACCGTCTCCTAAAGTTGATTCAGCTGTGGGATCGGGGCACCACCAGTGCAGAGCTTGCTCAGGAATGGCAGCAGGCAGGTGTGAGTGCATCTGCACGCACAGTGAGGCGAAGACTTTTGGAGGATGGCCTGGTGTCAAGAAGGGCAGCAAAGAAGCCACTGCTCTCCAGGGAAAACATCAGGGACAGACTGATATTCTGCAAAAGGTACAGGGATTGGACTGCTGAAGACTGGGGTAAAGTCATTTTCTCTGATGAATCACCTTTCCGATTGTTTGGGGCATCCGGAAAACACCTTGTCCGGAGAAGACAAGGTGAGCGCTACCATCAGTCCTCTGTCATGCCAACAGTAAAGCATCCTGAGACCATTCATGTGTGGGGTTGCTTCTCAGCCAAGGGAGTGGGCTCACTCACAATTTTGCCTAAGAACACAGCCATGAATAAAGAATGGTACCAACACATCCTCCGAGAGCAACTTCTCCCAACCATCCAAGAACAGTTTGGTGATGACCAATGCCTTTTCCAGCATGATGGAGCACCTTGCCATAAGGCAAAAGTGATAACTAAGTGGCTCGGGGAACAAAACATCGAAATTTTGGGTCCATGGCCAGGAAACTCCCCAGACCTTAATCCCATTGAGAACTTGTGGTCGATCCTCGAGGCGGGTGGACAAACAAAACCCCACAAACTCCAAGCATTGATTATGCAAGAATGGGCTGCCATCAGTCAGGATGTGGCCCAGAAGTTAATTGACAGCATGCTTGGGCAGATTGCAGAGGTCTTGAAAAAGAAGGGTCAACACTGCAAATATTGACTCTTTGCATAACCTTAATGTGATTGTCAATAAAAGCATTTGACACTTATGGAATGCTTGTAATTATATTTCAGTATACCATAGTAACATCTGACAAAAATATATCATAACACTGAAGCAGCGAACTTTGTGAAGACCAATACACGTGTCATTCTGAAAACGTTTGACCACGACTGTACATTTTCACCCGCGACTTCGTTTTCAAAGTAACCCAATTTTACAAGCCCAATTTAGGATAAATGCAGACATTGCAACCCTGGTGCATGTCGACTTCCGGCTACAGTCGGCGTACCACTCAAAGGCTGACTTGCATCTTCTTCCATTGAGCATCGTGTGCGCACGCGCCTGAAGTGGGAAGCGTCATTGAATCATTTTGTGGAAACTCCTTCTGTAGGTAAGATCAAATAAACAGAATCGTTACTTTAAAAATTACATGTAAATGTTTAGAAAGAATATGTGCGAAATAATCTTATTTTGATATTGTTAATAAGTCTATTTTTGTAACGCGAACCTAATAGGAGCTATGTCAGCCACGTCGCAAGGGACGGGGAGTTTGGTTGATCATGTTGTTGATGTCCATAATATGAATTTCCTGACAACTATGATGGCTGACTACCTGCTAACAAACCACCAACTGCTTTTAGCTACGCACTTGGTTTGAACACTATAGATAAGTACGGAATGTAAAGTGTTTTGAACATACGTTGGTCATCAACGTGGAACTGCGCGTTTTGTCTCGCTGAAACAATGTGGCAAACCAACTGACTTGCGTCATTGCACAGTGTCCAAGTCTGGTTTGAAATGGTGCAATAGTCGAAGTAATGTCTTATTGGAACAATGAGTGTCCAAAGTAAACAGCTTTCTGCTTTCAAGGTCACTTCTATTAAAAACCTCTTAACACTAACTAAGCTAATACTGAACAGACCCTTTTAGTCGTTTGTTTGGTCCAAACAATGGTTTGGTTGAATTTTGGCCCATCTCTAAATTCAATAAACTATCGCAAAGTCATTGTTGCAGGAGCGACGATTTTGGCAATACATTTACATATTAGTCATTTAGCAGACTCTTATCCAGACCGACATGCGTTTTCGTACATTGACCCTTTGACCCTGGCAAATGCCACCTCCCACACCTCCATGCATGATGTTCTTTATTTGCTTGCTCCACGTCAGATCCATGCTAGTAGCACAAAACGTCAGAGGTACACACTGTAAGTAGGTGGCTTCTAACCAATGATGTAGCACATATGTCAGAGGTACACACTATTTGTATTTTTTTATTAGGGATCCCCCACTCTTCCTGGGGTCCAAACATATTAAGGCACTTACATTACATGTAAAACAAAAGATAAAACAGTACATCATTTAACATTATTAAACCACTACATATTTACAATACAAAATGTATAATACCACCATACAACAATATTACAACGTACGTGCGTGTGCTAGCACTTGTGTGCGTATGCGTGTCTACCTTTTGTGTGTGTCCCTGCTGTTCCATAAGGTATATTTTGACCTGTTTTTTTATTTTATTTAATTTTTTTTTCTGATTCTACTGATTTGGAATAGAGTTCAATGTAGTCATGGCTCTATGTACAGTGAGGGGAAAAAAGTATTTGATCCCCTGCTGATTTTGTAAGTTTGCCCACTGACAAAGAAATGATCAGTCTATAATTTTAATGGTAGGTTTATTTGAACAGTGAGAGACAGAATAACAACAACAAAATCCAGAAAAACGCATGTCAAAAATGTTATAAATTGATTTGCATTTTAATGAGGGAAATAAGTATTTGACCCCCTCTCAATCAGAAAGATTTCTGGCTCCCAGGTGTCTTTTATACAGGTAACGAGCTGAGATTAGGAGCACACTCTTAAAGGGAGTGCTCCTAATTTCAGCTTGTTACCTGTATAAAAGACACCTGTCCACAGAAGCAATCAATCAATCAGATTCCAAACTCTCCACCATGGCCAAGACCAAAGAGCTCTCCAAGGATGTCGGGGACAAGATTGTAGACCTACACAAGGCTGGAATGGGCTACAAGATCATCGCCAAGCAGCTTGGTGAGAAGGTGACAACAGTTGGTGCGATTATTCGCAAATGGAAGAAACACAAAATAACTGTCAATCTCCCTCGGCCTGGGGATCCATGCAAGATCTCACCTCGTGGAGTTGCAATGATCATGAAAACGGTGAGGAATCAGCCCAGAACTACACGGGAGGATCTTGTCAATCTCAAGGCAGCTGGGACCATAGTCACCAAGAAAACAATTGGTAACACACTACGCAGTGAAGGACTGAAATCCTGCAGCGCCCGCAAGGTCCCCCTGCTCAAGAAAGCACATATACATGCCCGTCTGAAGTTTGCCTCTGAACATCTGAATGATTCAGAGGGGAACTGGGTGAAAGTGTTGTGGTCAGATGAGACCAAAATCGAGCTCTTTGGCATCAACTCAACTCACTGTGTTTGGAGGAGGAGGAGGAATGCTGCCTATGACCCCAAGAACACCATCCCCACCGTCAAACAAGGAGGTGGAAACATTATGCTTTGGGGGTGTTTTTCTGCTAAGGGGACAGGACAACTTCACCGCATCAAAGGGACGATGGACGGGGCCATGTACCGTCAAATCTTGGGTGAGAACCTCCTTCCCTCAGCCAGGGCATTGAAAATGGGTCGTGGATGGGTATTCCAGCATGACAATGACCCAAAACACACGGCCAAGGCAACAAAGGAGTGGCTCAAGAAGAAGCACATTAAGGTCCTGGAGTGGCCTAGCCAGTCTCCAGACCTTAATCCCATAGAAAATCTGTGGAGGGAGCTGAAGGTTTGAGTTGCCAAACGTCAGCCTCGAAAGCTTAATGACTTGGCGAAGTTCTGCAAAGAGGAGTGGGACAAAATCCCTCCTGAGATGTGTGCAAACCTGGTGGCCAACTACAAGAAACGTCTGACCTCTGTGATTGCCAACAAGGGTTTTGCCACCAAGTACTAAGTCATGTTTAGCAGAGGGGTCAAATACTTATTTCCCTCATTAAAATGCAAGTCACTTTATAACATTTTTTACATGCATTTTCTGGATTTTTTTGTTATTCTGTCTCTCACTGTTCAAATAAACCTACTATTAAAATTATAGACTGATCATGTCTTTGTCAGTGGGCAAACGTACAAAATCAGCAGTGGATCAAATACCTTTTCCCTCACTGTAGTACTGTGTGTCTCCCATAGTCTGTTCTGGACTTGGGGATTGTGAAGAGACCTCTGGTGACATGTCTTGTGGGGTATGCATGGGTGTCCGAGCTGTGTGCTAGTAGTTTAAACAGACAGCTCGGTACATTCAGCTTGTCAACACTTCTTACAAAAACAAGTAGTGATGAAGTAGGTGGCTGTGAGTAGGTGGCTTCTGACCAATGATGTATCATTTGCTTCTAACAGATTGGATGAGTCTTTTTTCCTTTGGCCTTGTTTGCCTTTGAATTATCTCCACCACTTAGTCTGAAGGAATGGTTCTCCTTGGCTACAATGCATGCCTATCAAAATGAAAGTTGTAGTCTGACACATCAGGAAAAGTAGTAATAGCAAGCTTTGTCCAATGCTTGAAAGGATCAGCAGCAAAGTCAAGTCATTCGCATACTGGCCATTTTTCATAGACATCTGAGTAACCTAACTGCAGTAGTACTACAGTTCAACTAGCTTAATCATGTGTGGACATCTCAATGAAATAATAGACCTACTCTTGGCTTTCCAGAAATGTATCCAATGCCAGGAGTTTTCCCTCACCATCATACTCAGTTTGCACTCCCTCCATTTTTGTCCCCACACAAACTGTCCGTCATTGTCCATCGCGGGCTTTATGTCCAGCCTCCATTACTGCTGACCTTGCAGATTCTTTTACAAAGTAATGTATCGCACACAAAAAATAAAATGAACCGCAACTAGAAAAGCCTGACAGAGCAAAGAGAAGAAAACAATCACACCATCATTGCTGTAGCCCAGGAGCTTTCCCTCTTCTAGAACCAGCATGGTTAGGCTATTTGGTCAATTGGACCTCTACCCACACCATACTTCCTCCCTCACCCCCTTGTGTGGTGTGCACCAACTCACCCTTTTTGTTTTCTGTTCATGTGAGGATATCCCTTCAAGTTCTCAAAAGTACCGCTTTCAAGTCCCCAATAGAAATAGTTGTTGATAAACAGTAGGGTTTATTAGAGTGTTGACGTTGCGCGTCATGGTTTCTATTTTAGAATGGCCAGAGAGTAGCAGTCAATCCCAGAGTGCGCCGGGTGACTGGTCACTGTGTGTTGGAGCGGAGTGTTCGTGAATAGATCGGCCAAGCTTTTCAGAAACTGCTGGCCTGGCTGTCATGTGCAGTGAGAGGGGAAGTGTGAATTCTGTGCTTGTGTGTGTGTGTGAGGCCGAGTGTATACGTGCCTTAATGTGTGTTTGAGCGATTTGAGGGAGCGGTGATGTGAGTGAATATACTGGGAGTCTCTCATAGACTGCTATATTGCCTCCCAGCTCAGAACACATGGGCCTAGAGACTATTAGCGCTGGGCTAGGCGTATATGCCAATTAGAAAACTCATTGGGACAGAACTTTGTAGTGGCCGAAAATGACTTTTTCTTTTCAAAGTATCTGCGGGTCTACAAAGGTGGCTTTGGAGTCTTCTAGCCTAAGTGTCCAAAATGTAGCCTAGCGTAGGGCTAACTGGAGGGCCAGTGGACTGATTCTGGGGAGCACAAAGAATTCTGGGGGATGAAGGAAGTTTGGGTGACAGATGGCGACAGGGGGGTCCAGGGAACAAGGCCTTGTGGGGAAAGGACACCTTCACTTCTCTCTGTTGGTAAGGCCTGAAACTGCTAGCCATATCCTTTTGGGGAGGCTATGTTGCGCCAGATTCTACTTTCGGTCTTGTTGTCTTTCCTCTTAAGTCCCTTGAATCCACATTCAACATTTTGTTGTAACAGTACACTGACTCCACGATTAGCTTTAGCCTGTTTTATCGGTCTTCAACATTCTGATAGGCTACTCCTTCATCTTTCGAAGTCCTATTGTCAACAGTGGATCGTCAGAATAAAAATAGAGAAGCCCAATTGCCTCGGTTAATGCTAGGACTCCCTGTTTTGTTTGTTTGTTATTTGGGTTCGTGCCTAGTTCGAGAGTCTTCAAAGCTTATATGCAAAAGTTGAAATGTCTTGTCAATAAGCATTCAACCCCTTTGTTACGGCAAGCCTAAATAAGGTCAGGAGTAACAATTTGCAAATAACAGGTAACATAATAAGTTGCATGGACTCACTCTGTGTGCAATAATAATGTTTAAAATGACTACCTTATCTCTGTACCCAACACATAAAATTATCTGTAAGGTGCCTCAGTCGAGCTGTGAATTTCAAACACAGATTCAACCACAAAGACCAGGGAGGTTTTCCAATGCCTCACAAAGAAGGGCATCTATTGGTAGATGGGTAAAAAAGACAAGAAAAAAAAAAAGACATTGAATATCCCATTTAGCATGGTGACGTTATTAATTACACTTTGGATGTTGTATCAATAGACCCAGTCACTACAAAGATACAGGTGTCCTTCCTAGCTCAGTTGCCGGAGAGGAAGAAAACCACTCAGTGATTTCACCATGAGGCCAATGATGACTTTAAAACAGTTACAGGGTTTAATGGCTGTGATGGGAGAACTGAGGATGGATCAACAACATTGTAGTTACTCCACAATACTAACCTAATTGACAGAGTGAAAAGAAGGAAGCCTGTACAGAATATAAATATTCCAAAACAAGCATCCTGTTTGCAACAATGCACTAAAGTAATACTGCAAAAAATGTGGCAAAGCAATTCACTTTTTTTCCTGAATACAAAGTGTTATGTTTGGGGCAAATCCAATACAACACATTACTGAGTACCACTCTCCATATTTTCAAGCATAGTGGTGGCTGCATCATGTTATGGGTATGCTTGTAATCGTTAAGGACTGTGGAATTTTTCAGGATAAAAAATTAACTGAATTGTGCTAAGCACTGGCAAAATCCTAGAGGAAAACCTGGTTCAATCTGCTTTCCACCAGACAATGGGAGATTCATTCACTTTTCAGCAGGACAATAACCTAAAACACAAAGCCAAATCTACACTGGAGTTGCTTACCAGGAGAACAGTGAATGTTCCTGAGTGGCCGAGTCACAGTTTTGACTTAAATCTACTTGAAAATCTATGGCAAGACCTGAAAAAGGTTGTCTAGCAATAATCAACAACCAATTTGACAGAGCTTGAAGAATAATGGGCAAATGTTGCACAATCCAGGTGTGTAAAGCTCTTCAGAGACTTACCCAGAAACACTCACAGCTGTAATCGCTCCCAAAGGTGCTTCTACAAAGTATTGACTCAGGGGTGTAAATACTTACGTCAATGACATTTCTGTATTTCATTTGCAATACATTTACAAAAATGTCTAAACATGTTTTCACTTTGTCATTATGGGGTATTGTGTGTGTATATGGGTGAGAAATAAATATACAATTTTAATCTATTTTGAATGCAGGCTGTAACAACAAAATGTGGAATAAGTTAAGGGGTATGAATACTTTCTGAAGGCACTGTAAGTCTGATACATGTTGTCAGAAAGAATTGATGTATTCCCAACATTTCTAATTAGGCCTAGGTAAGCTGTTTTACAGAGCATTTCAGGCAAGGAGCCTACCAGGAGTACCAAAACATCTCTCAATATTGATTTGTTTCCTGTAGCCTATCACACTGATATAACCTCAGACCTGTCTTAGTGACAAAACAGCATAGAAAGATAGTGATCCATCATTTTTGAAACCCTATAAATAGGAACTCCATATAAGGTGTGTCAATGCATCATCATGAGTAGTTAAAGGAAATTACATCACCAGATTATTTTGTTGGGTATGTAATGATGGACCTTGATCTTCCTCAGAGCAGTGGATCTTTTAACCTATAATAATTCATCAACACTCATTAATTCCAAGGGTCAAGAAAGCTTGTTTAAAACACTTACGCTAGGTTATTGGCATCTCAGTTTAGCGTGACAATATTTTAGAGTGGACATGATCCTGGGAAGGTAAATGTATGTTGTATTCTGCCAACGAACTTGGATAGCCTACTAGGCTATATTATCCTAGTATTCTAAAAAGTGTATTGTTTTGTATTCTAGCTCGATTATTGTGTTTGGTCCATCTTGGTTTTGATTTAACCAGGTAAGAAACACATGGGAAGAAACAACAGGTGAAAGCAATATGGCAGAAGCCCACAGGGGAGTGTAGTTTATAGGGAGGAAGAGAGAAGAGGATAGCCTACCTTATTATTGAACGACAACAAATTGTTTGCCTTTCATGAAGTTTGAAAACATGTTACATCATTTGCAGTAGGAGCCTGGACTAGGCCTTATGTATTCTCGATTCAATAACATTGATTGGTAGAGAATTGTGAAACCGTTGGACAAGAATTGCACCTTGACCCCCCCCCCCCCCCCCCCCCCCCCTCCCCTCCTGCTCTCTCTCTCTCTCTCTCTCTCTCCAGTCCCAGACCATGAACTACGTGGGGCAGCTGGCAGAGTCTGTGTTTGTGACGGTGAAGGAGCTGTACCGGGGCCTGAACCCAGCCACGCTCACGGGGGGCATCGATGTCATCGTGGTGCGGCAGCCCGACGGCAGCCTCCAGTGCTCCCCGTTCCACGTGCGCTTCGGCAAGCTTGGGGTGCTGCGCTCCAAAGAAAAAGTGGTGAGTATGGAGAAAGACTGGAGTGTGTGTGGTGTAGCCTACACATAATGGGTGCAAGTACAGTGCCTTCAGAAAGTATTCACACCCCTTGACTTTTTCCACATTTTGTTGTGTTACAGCCTGAATTTAAAATTGATTAAATTGAGATTTTTTGTCAGTGGCCTACACACAGTACCACATCATGTCAAAGTGGAATTATGTTTTTAGACATTTTTATAAATTAATAATAAATGAAAAGCTGAAATGTCTTGAGTCAATAAGTATTCAATCCCTTTTTTATGGCAAGCCTAAATAAGTTCAGGAGTAAGAAATTTGCTTATCAAGTCACAAGTTGCATGGACTCACTCTGTGTGCAATAATAGTGTTTAACATGATTTTTTTGAATGACATACAATTATCTGTAAGGTCAAACAGTGAATTTCAAACAGCGATTCAACCACAAAGACCAGGTAGGTTTTCCAATGCCTTGCAAAGAAGGGCACCTATTGGTATATGGGGTAAAAAAACATTGAATATCCCTTTGAGCATGGTGAAGTTATTAATTACACTTTGGATGGTGTATCAATATACCAAGTCACTACAAAGATACAGGCGTCCTTCCTAACTCAGTTGCCGGAGAGGAAGGAAACCACACAGGGTTTTCACCGTGAGGGCCAATGGTGACATTAAAACAGTTACAGAGTTTAATGGCTGTGAAAGGAGGACTGAGGATGGATCAACAACATTGTAGTTACTCCACAATACTAACCTAAATGACAGAGTGAAAAGAAGGAAGGCTGTACAGAATAAAAAACATGCATCCTGTTTGCAACAAGGCACTAAAGTAAAACTGCAAAAACAGTGGCAAACAAATGACTCTGTCCTGAATACAATGCTTTATGTTTGGGGCAAATCCATAACTGCATCATGTTATGGGTATTGTCATCTGCAAGGACTAGGGAGTTTTTTTGGATAAAAATAAACTGAATAGATCTAAGCACAGGCAAAATCCTAGAGGAAAACCTGGTTCAGTCTGCTTTCCAACAGACACTGGGAGACAAATTCACTTTTCATCAGGACAATAACCTAAAACACAAAGCCAAATCTACACTGGAGTTGCTTACCAAGAAGACAGTAAATGTTCCTGAGTGGCCGAGTCACAGTTTTGACTTAAATCTACTTGAAAATCTATGGCAAGACCTGAAAATGGCTGTCTAGCAATGATCAACAACCAATGTGACAGAGCTTGAAGAATTTAAAAAATAATAATGTGCAAATATTGTACAATCCAGGTGTGCAAAGCTCTTAGACTTACCCAGAAAGACTCACAGCTGTAATCACTGCCAAAGGTGATTCTAACGCGTTGATTCAGGGGAGTGAATACTTATGTAAATGAAATATTTATATATTTCATTTTCAATACATTTGCAAAAATGTTTAAAAACATGTTTTCACTTTGTCATTATGCGGTATTGTGTGTAGATGGGTGAGAAAACAAATGCATGTAATAAATGTTGAATTCAGTCTGTAACACAACAAAATATGAAATAAGTCAAGGGGTATGAATACTTTCTGAAGGCACTGTATATAAGCAGATACAGACAGATCGACAGACACACACCCTCTTTCTTACCCTCTCTCACATACGCACACTTTCTCTCGCATGCACACGCTCTCTCTTAAACACTCACACTCACACACACTGACTGTGACTGTGTGTGTTGCAGGTGGACATTGAGATCAATGGGGAGCCAGTTTACCTGCAAATGAAGCTGGGGGACAACGGAGAAGCTTTTTTTGTGGAGGAAAATGAAGATTTTGAGGTTTGTCCAATAAAAAATATTTGGAGACAATCTGATCCTATAGGTCTGTTCATTAGTGGAGGATAACCTCTTTTTGTAGACGTGTTAAGCTAATAGGGAAGGTGACATGACGTAGCCTGTTTTTGTTTGTTCTTTGGCTTTTTGACAATGTACAATGCCTATCATAAGCATTCATCCCCCTTGGATTTCTTCACATTTTGTTGTTACAAAGTGGGATTATAATGTATTTGTCATTTTTGGTCAATGATCTACACAAAATACTCTGTCAAAGTGGAAGACAAATGATCTAACATTTGTTAAAGATTTAATGAAAAATAAAACACTAATATACATTGATTAGATAAGTATTCACCCCCTTAGTCAATACATGTTAGAAACACCTTGGGCAGCAATTACAGCTGTGAGTCTTATTAGGTTGGCGCCTGGCGACTCCAAAGTGAGGTGTAAACCTCACCGCCATTGGCAGTCCGACTGACAAATCTGGGTTTGGCGGATGCCAGGAGAACGCTACCTGACCCAATGCATAGTTCCAGCTGTAAAGTTTGGTGGAGGAGGAATAATGGTCTGGGGCTTTTTTTTCATGGTTCGGGCTAGGCCCCTTAGTTCCAGTGAAAGGAAATCTTAACGCTACAGCATACAATGACATTCTAGGCGATTCTGTGCTTCCAACTTTGTGGCAACAGTTTGGGGAAGGCCCTTTCCTGTTTCAGCATGACAATGCCCCCGTGCACAAAGCGAGGTACATACAGAAATGGTTTGTCGAGATCGATGTGGAAGAAGTTGACTGGCCTGCACAGAGCCCTGACCTCAACCCCATCCAACACCTTTGGGATGAATTGGAACGCCGACTGCTACCCATGCCTAATCGCCCAACATCAGTGCCCGAACTCACTAATGCTCTTGTGGCTGAATGGAAGCAAGTCCCCGCAGCAAAGCCTTCCCAGAAGAGTGGAGACTGTTATAGCAGCAAAGGGGGGACCAACTCCATATTAATGCCCATGATTTTGGAATGAGATGTTCGACGAGCAGGTGGCCACATACATTTGGTCATGTAGTGTATTTCAATCCCACTTTGTCATGCAACAAAATGTGAAAGAATCCAAGGGGGTGAATACTTATGATACTCGCTGTATGTGTAGCCTAGTACGTTAACACAACCCATTTGTATTTTAGTTGTGCCTTAATTTTCTCCCCTTCATCCCCAGTCCAGAGTGCCAGCCCACCTCTGCACGTCGCCCATCCTCATCGAGCTCCCGGAGGGGGCCGAGGAAACCTTCGAAGGCCCCCCCTGTTCCGGTAGCACACGCAGGAAAAAGCGGCGGCGCAAACGCATACGCTCCGACTCCCACCTAAGAGAAGATGGTAGCTCCTCGTCCGATGAGAGGGAGAGAGAGCGGGAGCAGACGGAACAGGAGAGCCCTTCCAAAGAAGAGCCCACCACACCCATGCTCGCCAGGTCAATGTCAACTCCCGTTAAACATTCATTCTATTGGTTAAGAATGACTATTCTATCGGATTCATTGTGCCTGCCAAGCTAAATCAAACACACCTCAAGTGTTAGGTGAAAAAGATATATATATTTAACCCAGGTCCTATTGTTAGATATAGCATTCGGTATATGGCTTTGAATGATCAGCTTTATGTTCTGATATATCCTGTGGCTTGCTCTTTTGTCTCTCTAACAGTAAGTCTGTGTATTTCTCGCTGTTTGAGGAACCGTATGAAGAGTTGGGGGCCGTGCAGACCAGGGACGTACATCCTCACTCAGAGGGAGAGTGGTCCCCATCAGAGAGCAGGTCAGACAACTTACCATCTAAGGCATTGGTTTTCCACCGGTGTGATTTATTATTTTAAACACTCACTTAGAAACGTGACTTGTGGAATGCACATGGAATTTTGCCTTGGGAGCACCAGTGCTGCTCAGATAATACATTGAATGGCACACATGGTTACATCTGTGTTGTTGTTTCCAGTCAGGTGCACTCAGGCTGACAAACCGTTCAAACCTAAAGACCTATTTTACCGAGGTATAACATATTTCGGCTCGCTGAAGAGCGGTACTGAATTGAGGAAATGAATGCGAGCCCCGCTGTTATTGCCAGGAAGGCGAGGCTTCCGAGGGCGGGCTCTGCATTGTATTCTTTCTAGCGCAGTTTCGGCAGGACGCTCTTAAAAGGGTACACACAAATTCATCATCATAAGTAAGGAACTATCTATATAGTTAAAATAATCCTGATTTAATCGATAAACATTTGTCAAATAATTTATAATTTGTAGTATGGATCAGATGAGATGGCCATTACCACTAAATCAATTAATAGGGACATTTTAGGTGTGCAGTGTAATTTTGTTATCCCATCGAGGTGTGCCACGGTTTAAAAAAAGGTTGGGAACCACGGCTCTAAGGGGCGGTTTCCTGGACACAGATTAAAGGAATATTCCACACAAAACCACAAATTACTATACAGTGTTAAATAACACAGAAACATATTTTTTGTGAAGAAATGTTTCACTTTGTCGTTATACAAAAATAATAGGGGTTGTCATGATTTCTTTATGACTACCCCTTCCTATGTCCCCCATACATACATCTGTAAGTATTGAATTTCAAGCACAGATCAAAGACAGAGACCAGGGAGCTTTTCGAAAGCCTCATAAAGAAGGGCAGTGATGGGTAACAATAACAAATCAGGCATTGAATATCTATTTTAAGCATGGTCAAGTGAATTTTTGCTGTGGGTGACGTATTATACCACCCAGACACAACAAAGATAGTTGTCCCTCAGGAAATGAGCTGCAGGACAGGAAGGAAACTGCTCAGGGTTGTCACCATGAGGCCATTGGCGCTTTTAAACAGCAACAGAGTTCAATGGCTGTGTATTCCAAAACATGCTTCCTGTATACAACAGGGCACTAAAGTAATACTGCAAAGGAATAAACATTATGTCCTAAATGCAAAGCCTTATGTTTGGGGCATATCCAACACATCACTGAGTAACTGCCTCCTTATTTTCAAGCAGGTTGTGGCTACATGGTATGGGTATGCTTGACATCGGCAAAGACTGAGACATTTTTAGGATAAAAATAAACAAGATGGAGCTAAGCACAGGCAAAATCCTAGAGGAAAACCTGTTCAGTCTGCTTTACACCAGACACTGGTAGATGAATTCACCTTTCAGCAGGAAAATAACTTACTAGCTAGCATAGCTAGCCTTGTGTTGTAACGTTAGCATATCAAACATGAACATTTACCCCTCATATAAATATAAAAGTACAGTTTCAGTGTATTAAAATGACCTTAGATCAAACCAGGCTTCATTATACTGTATGAGGTAAACGCAAAATTGCGACTGAAAACGTTGATAATACCCCTGGTGAGTTGATCAGCTTCTTACTGCATGCTTCTTGCTTGGACGGTGGCTCAAAGCAGCCAAGGGGGTAAAAAACACAATTTCTTAACACTACAACTGCTAAAGCAGTCATTTTGACTGCTCATTAAGTTATTTATTTTATTACTCTCCCATTTTTAAAGTCATGCCCCCCTCCCTCCTTGACATTTCCTAAATAAGTCTATATAACACACAGACGTTGATAGAATCGTAATATCACAAACAGACCTGGCGTTATAACCAGTTTTAGGAGGGCATGTCATTATTTGAATGGTTTTCCCTCCTGTTGCCCCTCCTTCTCCAACAGTAGAACCTGCTCCGCTCATTCTCCCGACATTGGAAGGTGCCCAGTTGATAATTGCCTCGAAACTGAATCTAAACTATACCAAAACTAATTTCACACATATAACAACAGATAAAGTAAAGTATGATCGTGGAGAATGGGTGAGTTGATGAGCGAGGGGAAGCAAACTATGCATAATTATGTAATCACTGATTGTGAATGAAGTACAGTGCGGGCCATGTTATTGTATTGGTATATTCTAATTATTATAATCTCAAAATGGTATGTACCCTATATCAGTTCACCAAATCCAAGCAGTCTTATCAGACTACTCTGGCCTACTTGGAGTACACAGTGAGAATGTGCGTAATTTACAATGGCAAGAAGACCAAGACGAATGGATGCACATGCTGCGTTAGCGCTGCTACAAGATCTGAATGAAAACGACTCCGATGGTGGGGAAGAAATGAATCATGACATCTCTGATTATAGTTTTTCTGATTCTGAGACGCAGCCTATACCTACACCTCCGAGGCCTAAGCGCAAAAAAGCCAGAACGATACGCACTAAGCAGGTGGACGGCACCATTTGGATAGAATAAGCCGGTGACAATACTATGGGTCAATTATCAGTACAAAATGTAATCACTGAGAGAGCAGGCCCTACATCTCAAGCAAAAAAACATCAGCAACGCACTCACCAGCTTTCGTTGTTTGTGACATGGACATGCTATAGCACATCAGGGCCTGTACTGTGGCTGAGGCACACAGGGAGCAAGGAGACACTGCCTGGGAACTGTCTGTTGATGAGCTGGAAGCATTCATTTCAATCCTGGATGTCCGTGGAGCATTCGGTGGAAAGAGTGTATACCTGTATATGGAGAGCTTCTGGTCAGACATGTATGGGATACATTTCTTTGGAGAAACCATGTCATGGGATGGCTTCAGAGTGATCATGCGTTACCTCAGTTTTGATGACAAAGAACAGTTGAACAAAGAATCGATTGAACAGTTAATTTTTTACATGTAGCCTACAGTAACATAAAGTAATGAAAATGCTGAAAAAAAATCGTATTCTAATGTTACCTTCATGAATACAACCAAATCATTATTTTAGCGATAGCATATATGAAATGTATTAATTACACTGTTAGAATGTTGCAGTCAGAATGACTGCTCGTTAGCTTGAAGGGGGTCCCTATTTCTCACGTTCGAGACGTGAGAAATACAAGAATCTCTGAAATGTCTCATTTAGGCTAATCTGTGTCCAAGAAACCATTCTCTTTTATCGTCTCTGCATCTGTCCCCCTCATTCTCTCTCAAGTTGTTGAACTCTCTTTGTCCTTGTCACTCTCTTTCCTCCTGTCTTTCTCCCGCTCTCTTTAAAATAGGAAAAGCACTCACACATCTGAGGTTACTTGTTGCAGGTGCGTGGGAATTATTCGATGATAACTTAATAGAAAAACATTTACTTGCACACTGCGCTTGCCGGTATCAGTTGTGTTTATTTAGCTTATGTATGCATGGTCGCCTTCAGAGCCTTTTTTAGAGCTTCTCTCTCTCTCTCTGTCTCTGTCTCGCTCTCTCTCTCTCTGTCTGTCTCTGTCTCGCTGTCTCTGTCAATCAATCAATCAATTTTATTTTATATAGCCCTTCTTACATCAGCTAATATCTCGAAGTGCTGTACAGAAACCCAGCCTAAAACCCCAAACAGCTAGTAATGCAGGTGTAGAAGCACGTCTCTGTCTCGCTCTCTCTCTCTCTGTCTCTGTCTCGCTCTCTCTGTCTCGCTCTCTCTGTCTCGCTCTCTCTGTCTCTCTCTCTCTCTCTTTCCTTCTATTAATGAAGCCTCTGTGTCTCCTATGTCTAGTGTGTTCTATAGTCGTCCTTCCTCCCCCAAGAGTGACTCCGAGCTGCTGGTGAAGCCTCAGGAGTCCTCAGGGCCTCAGATGCAGTGGAACTGGGGCGGCTTTCCCAAGGTATGATATAACAGAGCATACAGGTGTCATAACGGGACATACAGGTGTCATAACAGGACATACAGGTGTCATAACAGGGCATATAGAGGCCATAACAGGGCATACAGGTGTCATAAGTTGGTGTAGAAAGTTTGTACTGAAGAAATTCATAACCACACTACTTTGTTTTCCCTGCTCCCTCTAGATGTGTTCGGCGGAGAGGGGGACGGTGGAGGTGCAGCGCGTCTCCCCCGGCATCCACTGCTCGGACAGCTCCCACTTCCGCACCATCCAGTGGCAGGACTCCTTCGACATGGGCCAGGAGCCCGGTTTCAGCTGTGGCCGAGCGAACAGTAGCGTGACGGTAGTGGTCAGGCCCAAGCCCAGGACCGGACCAGCGGTCCAACCCACAGAGAGTTCCCCCATAGACCTGGAGAGAACCTCTAATGTGGCCCAATCCACCCCAAATCACCCCACCGCAGAGCCACTGACTTTAGCATTGTTAGCGATGGCTAGCATAGACTCTCCCCAGGCTCCAGGGCATACAAAAAAGCAGCCCCAAGTAGAGACCCTGCAGGCAGGGGAGGAGGTAGCCAAGGAGTCTGCATCCAACCTGGAGCTGGAAGAGACAAGAACCGTTATGGATAACACAGTTAGCATGGCTAATGTAGGAAATATTGATGGCCTAGCTAGCGAAGGAAGCATAGGCGATGTTGAATGTGTAGCTAACACGGTTAGCCTAATTGAAAACGACTGCATGGACACACACATCCCATCCAAAAAAGGTAGCAAAGCCGGCACAACCAGCACAGATAGGCTAGCTAGCAACAGCACAGCTACTTTAGCAAACACTGCTAGCTTAGCTAACACCACTAGCTTAGCCAATGCAGCTAGTTTAGCCAGTGTAGCAGGTCCCAACATTACCACAGAGTTTCTGGGTACCATAGAACACCCAGACCAGTACAGTGCCTTACCAGAAACCAATGGACAGGGGTTTGCAGAAGGAGTTGTGAGTGAGGGCGACAGCGGGATCAAGCCCTGCACCGAGGGAGGGGAGGAGACGGAGAACAAATCTGTTATGATGGACAGAGCCACAGAGAGCTCCCTGACCAATCAGGCTGCAGAGAGTGTCGGCGTGACAGACATGGGAGCCACTGAGGCTCTGGGTGAGGAGCATTCTGGCTCAGCAGATACGACAGGCAAAGCAGAGCACCAGGACAAGAAGAAAGGTGAGAACTCTGGGAGAAACAAATCTACCCATAATCAATTCCAAATTAACGCCTAGTCTCACTCCCTAAACCCTAGGCACTTATCCCTTAGATCTGAGAGGATTTGACGGGTATAAGCATTATGTTAATAGCTTCAAGAGGATTTGTGTTGTTTTTGACCTAACTTTGAATTGTATGGTGGTTCTCTGTGCTCAGTCTCTGTGCTGTTTGAACACAGGTAAACGCAGTCAGCACCTGGGACCCTCCGACATCTACCTGGACGACCTGTCTAACCTTGACCCAGAGGTGGCAGCTCTCTACTTCCCGCCTAAAGGGTAAAGGGCTCCTTGCTCTGATTTCTTCCATCCCTCCCTCCCACAATGTATTCAGTGTTCATAAATGATAGGTGAGAGCATAGGTTCCACCATAGAGCTACTTAAAGTTAGAATAGACATGCTCTTAATCCATGAGTTTTTCATGTCACTGTTTTTTTTTATATGATGATTTGGTTTTGGTATCTCCCATGGGTAAATATGAATGGAGGTCAACAGGCAATAGATTTCATAATATGCAGCCCAACATATGTCTCAATATGACCCAAGTTCCTAGTTGGCATGCCTTTCCGCAATCCACACTTACTCAGAGTCAAGGATTACACACATCGATGAACTCTGTGTGGATAATGTAGAAGGATGCATTCCCTAAACTGATCATAAGAAATGTTATCTTATCTGAGGCTTGACTTTGTCCTCACAAGGCAGGTCACACTGGTAAGGACTTACATAAGATATCAGAGACTGTGTCGCATTTCTGAGTGTTTTTCAAAGTTAGAAGTCTTATTGATCCCACAGTTAAATACCAATCGGATCTCAGTCACTCGTTCTATTTACAGTCAATTCCTGGGCCTGTTTTCATAAAGCGTCTGAGGTGCTGATCTATGGTCCATTTGAACTTTTAGATCACAATGAACAAGATCACATGAACAGGGGGGACTCGATCCTGGATCAGCACTCCTACTCTGAGAAGCTTTATGAAAATGGCCCATGATAAATGCAACAGCTTGGAACTAGTCTTTTCACCCATTATAATTATGAAATAGTAGCGTTAGATTATGAATTATTTATTTGGAAGCAGGTTCGGGGTCAATTCCATCTTAACTCAGGCAATTCACTAAGTAAACTCAAAGGCAGAGTGGTAGAAGATTTTCCCTCTCCTCTCCATTTAGTGAGACAGAAGGGGGCTTGCGGCCGGGTGCAGAGCAAGGGTCTGGGTCTGGGTCTGGTAACCAGTCTCCCCAGTCGGTGGGCAGCGGGGCCATGGACAGCGGCACAGAGTACCTGTCGGACTCCACCACCGACCACATGGATGTCAGCATGTCCCTCTGCGGCCGCACCGGCCACACCAGCCAAATCAACAAAGGTGTGTGTGTGTGAGAGAAAGCGAGCGAGAGAGAGGGAGATATTGGAAGTACTGTATGTATATTTCTGTACAGCTGTGTATGTCTCATTGAAGTACACATTTTCCTCACTGTTTGCTGCTCCTAAAGATGGTATTTCTCAAGCTAGTGAGCAAACAATGAAGACAGTCCTTTTTAGATGAAATAAATATTAAGTAGGGGATAATCAATGAGGGGCTATGTGTTCTGTGGAACATAATGCATGACGTGAAAGGTGTGTGCCACGACGCGCTAGCAGAGTTGCATTATTTTCCGGACAGTGTAATTATGACATTAACACGTCATGGTATTTTGCGGAAGTTGTTGTCCCACGACTCCCGCATATCAACCAATCAGCATTCAGGATCCAAACAACCCGTTTTATAATGGGAAATAATGCACGCTCTAGAATGCCCTTCAAGCCAATAAAAAAAAGAGAGTATTCAACAATGCCATGGTACTCATGGGTTGCACCACTGTCGCTCGGTCGTGTCGTTGCCATTGTTATCAACGTTCTACAGATGTCCCAGCCACATTGATATCCAAAAGTAGAACGAGGGCTAATGACTTTGAATGGGAGCTATGACTGTTTCGCCTAAATTACACTGTAATGGCTTGGAAATACGATGACATTGCTAAAGTAGGCAAATATTTAGTAGGTAACAGCTTTGCCATCATGTCGTCAAGTTTACTTTAGACAGAAGACAATGTTGTCATTAGCCATCAAAGTCTGTCAAAAAAAGATACAAATGCTGACTTTAGCTAGCTAAAATCCGGTGGTCTCTGCTCCATCTAAGCAGGCTAGCTAGCTAACGTTATACTGCAACTAAAGTCAATCTGGCGACATCAAAGTGATGACACAAGGTTTTGCTACTAATAATTTACCCTTAGAAATGGCATCAGGTTTTTAAGCCACAGTAATGCACTTTAGACCATATCTTTATCAGCACCTATTGAGGATATATTGAATAGAATGTTCAGTTGGCCATCTGTCCTAAAACAAACGTTCAAAACAATATTGTGACAATGTGCAGCTCATGAATGACGTGTTAACTTATGTTTTGTTTACCCATTTGTATTGATGAAACTTTCTCTATTGCCATGTCCCTCTGTTCCAGATAAGTTTATGGAGCAAGTTGTGAACTACCAGGATTTGGTGAGCAACCCTGGAATCATCGAAGATCCAAATCTGGTTATCTGCATCAACTCAAAGTAAGTTCCATATATGGTAATGATATACAATACATCTGATCTTGTGGTTCTGCCATTATACTGTAAGATTTGTATAAGTCTCTGTCAGTTGACTAATTGTGTTTTTTGGTGCTCTTTTAGGTATTATAACTGGGCAGTAGCTGCCCCTATGGTCCTGTCAATGCAAGTCTTTCAAAAGAATCTACCAAAGGTATATCACGATCTCTCACCAGCCTAAACCTACTCCATTGTAATACTTTTAAATGTATGGGTATACCAGGGCACACTTCAGGGGTGCGTTCAGTTTGATTCAACTTTTGCGTGACGGTTTGTACTGAATGACACGTTTCCCCAAAACGGTGTGCAGCGTTCTTCAACAGCTTTTGAGGTACGTTTGCTCCCGTTTGGTGGGTGTGGCAATGGTTGGCCCTATGTTTTGGCTCGATCAATATGGGTGTGACCATTTAACATAGTCCCGTGTGGCTCAGTTGGTAGAGCATGGCTCTTGCAACGCCAGGGTTGTGGGTTCAATTCCCACGGGGGACCAGTACGAAAATGTATGCACTCACTACTGTAAGTCGCTCTGGGTAAGAGCGTCTACTAAATGATTAAAATGTAGTAAAACAACTGCAGCACACCATTGTCGTGACATGACTTTCATTATTGTGATGACTATTATTTATCTAATAATGACCTACTATGTTTAGTTGTTACTAGATTAAAATTAATCATGTAACAATTAACTCATTAGGAATTTGGGGCACCACGGGAAAAGTTGTTTAACAAGTTACCGTTTCCCGAATTAACTCTAAAGATATCTAGATATCTCTTAACAGTCATGTATTAATCATTTTACCTCATATCAGTCTCATTCTGAAAGTCATAGGCTCTAAGTCGGCACGAACCCAGCTTTTACTGATCATTCCGTACCACACAAATGTATTTTAATTATTTATTAACTAACTATTTAAAAATGATAACATAAGATATAAACACGTACACGGTATAGGTAGGGATTAGAAACTTAATACAATGAAAACGGGTCCCTAGCGGACTAACATAATATGACACTTGTTACAAAAGATGGCGAGTTAAAGGGAGCGAGAGAGAAAACACTTGGATACACATGGACCTATGCTCACAGTAATCCTAATACTTTTCCCAGAACTGCTGCCTGTTTGGGAAGAAAAACAATGCATGTATTTACGTGTTGGAGGTCTTCGTCGTGTATCTTTGTTGGACCCAGGCCTTCGTGGGAAGGGGTCGATTGGGCCTTCTCTTTCGGATGGCCTTTTAGATTTAACGCTCAGATTGTCCACAAGAGGTCACAATGTCCTTCTTCTTGGTTGTCTGTTTACTTTCACTCGTTCTGGAAGTGGTCTTCTGAGGACGGCTAATCAGCCGTGTCGATGATCCCCTGTGGGGTGACGAGAGCAGTGTAGTAGATAATGACTTGAAGAGAGTAACACGATGGTCCCACTTAAATTCACCTTCTTAAATACAGTACTTAGAACAGCTACTCAGCCGTAACATTGATTGTTAGAGAGGCAACTTTGTCGTCTCCACCTCGTGTTGATTTTCAGGGTCGGGACCATTATGGACAAAAGCTGCAGCTTGAGGTCCATCTAGTCTGATCTGATAATTCTTTCGATCTTTTATGCACTCTGTTAAAGAGGGGCGTCATACTGACACGCTCTCTGAGCTCCCTCGGGCGTGGCTAGTTACGAGGCAAACGTATTATCATCACTATGATTTCGTTAGAAAGCTAAAATCACATTCCTATCTTCACGAAAACATTGTCTTCCTCCTTGATATTTTCTACACAACGTAAAGGATGTAAATCTGAAATACACAGTGTAAAAGCTCTTCAAGTCACAATGTTTTTGTTATAACGCCTTTTACAGTGAGGGAAAAAAGTATTTGATCCCCTGCTGATTTTGTACGTTTGCCCACTGACAAAGACATGATCAGTCTATAATTTTAATGGTAGGTTTATTTGAACATTGAGAGACAGAATAACAACAAAAAAATCCAGAAAAACGCATGTCAAAAATGTTATAAATTGATTAGCATTTTAATGAGGGAAATAAGTATTTGACCCCTCTGCAAAACATTACTTAGTACTTGGTGGCAAAACCCTTGTTGGCAATCACAGAGGTCAGACGTTTCTTGTAGTTGGCCACCAGGTTTGCACACATCTCAGGAGGGATTTTGTCCCACTCCTCTTTGCAGATCTTCTCCAAGTAATTAAGGTTTCAAGCCTGATGTTTGGCAACTCGAACCTTCAGCTCCCTCCACAGATTTTCTATGGGATTAAGGTCTGGAGACTGGCTAGGCCACTCCAGGACCTTAATGTACCTCTTCTTGAGCCAATCCTTTGTTGCCTTGGCCGTGTGTTTTGGATCATTGTCATGCTGGAATACCCATCCACAACCCATTTTCAATGCCCTAGCTGAGGGAAGGAGGTTCTCACCCAAGATTTGATGGTACATGGCCCCGTCCATCGTCCCTTTGATGCAGTGAAGTTGTCCTGTCCCCTTAGCAGAAAAACACCCCCAAAGCATAATGTTTCCACCTCCATGTTTGACGGTGGGGATGGTGTTCTTGGGGTCATAGGCTGCATTCCTCCTTCTCCAAACATGGCGAGTTGAGTTGATGCCAAAGAGCTCGATTTTGGTCTCATCTGACCACAACACTTTCACCCAGTTCTCCTCTGAATCATTCAGATGTTTATTGGCAAACTTCAGACGGGCCTGTATATGTGCTTTCTTGAGCAGGGGGACCTTGCGGGCGCTGCAGGATTTCAGTCCTTCACGGCGTAGTGTGTTACCAATTGTTTTCTTGGTGACTATGCTCCCAGCTGCCTTGAGATCATTGACAAGATCCTCCCGTGTAGTTCTGGGCTGATTCCTCACCGTTCTCATAATCATTACAACTCCACGAGGTGAGATCTTGCATGGAGCCCCAGGCCGAGAGAGATTGACAGTTCTTTTGTGTTTCTTCCATTTGCGAATAATCGCACCAACTGTTGTCACCTTCTCACCAAGCTGCTTTGCGATGGTCTTGTAGCCCATTCCAGCCTTGTGTAGGTCTACAATTTTGTCCCTGACATCCTTGGAGAGCTCTTTGGTCTTGGCCATGGTGGAGAGTTTGGAATCTGATTGATTGCTTCTGTGGACAGGTGTCTTTTATACAGGTAACAAGCTGAGATTAGGAGCACTCCCTTTAAGAGTGTGCGCCTAATCTCAGCTCGTTACCTGTATAAAAGACACCTGGGAGCCAGAAATCTTTCTGATTGAGAGGGGGTCAAATACTTATTTCCCTCATTAAAATGCAAATCAATTTATTACATTTTTTACATTCGTTTTTCTGGATTTTTTTGTTGTTATTCTGTCTCACTGTTCAAATAAACCTACCATTAAAATTATAGACTGATCATTTCTTTGTCAGTGGGCAAACGTACAAAATCAGCAGGGGATCAAATACTTTTTTCCCCCACTGTATACCATTTTTATGACATCACAAAATAGACATTAATTTTCCATATTCCATTTCTCATCATTCCCAACGTCTGGATGTTGAAATATATTGTCCCAATGTTCATTGTTGGATGTTGAAGTTTTTGGGCGGCAAGAAGTCTCTGAAACAAAGGCCTTCCTTTCACCATACTAGAATGCCAGAGATAGATTCTCCTCCTCTCTAATTTATGGCAGTATTAAGGTGTCAAGACCGGCAAAGCCCCCCTGTGGGTAGGAGGGTCTGGTTGTTGTCGGCCATTTCCCAAGCTGATGTGAGTCCTTTAATCCTCACCCAGGGAGAGTCATGACACCATTCACAAATGCCCTCTGGGCCACCATAATTACAACGTTCTTCAACTGGTCCTTCAAAACAGTACCGTTTCCATTGAACTAAATGTTGCACACCGTTCTGTCGTACTGAACGCACCCCAGGAGAAAGGGCCGATATTTGGGAAGCAGGGAAAGTGGTGGCAGGTGTGATATGACCTTTAACCTCGTGCTGTCTGTCTCTGTCTGTCTGTAGAGTGCCATTGACCAGCTGGTGAAGGATAAGATGCCAAAAAAGTCTGGCCGCTGGTGGTTCTCCTGGAGGAGGAAGGACATGGACACTAACCCAAACCAGGTAGCCTATCACAGTAGACACGAAACTGAAAACTGCAAGGTACTATCTGAAATTGTCCCATAAGAAACCATTGTTTTTGTTTTCTGTTGCAAAATGTTATGCTACGGTGTGACCTAATGAACACCCCAGCCGTTGCACATACAGTATTTGTCCCAGTCTAGCACCAGCACACCTTCATTTCACATTTTAGTTGGATTGGAATGTCATGAATCGTCATCTTATTGAAGGATAATGGGTAAAGAGCTGCTTAGCTTTAATTTGTAACTATATTTTTCTCTGTCTGTCTTTACTACAGACTGGAGAGAATTCCAAGCAGGACCAAGAGAAGGCACAAGCAGAGACTGAAGAAGCCTCAACCTCTGTTTCTGGTCCCTCAACAACGATACTGTGAGTGATCACACACAGACGCACATTGTTCCACATGCGGAACTCAAATGCACGTTTTACCCAAAAGAGTTCCATGAAAATGTTTGATTTTGGCCTTTTTGGTTTCTTTTGGAAAAATTACTTGTGTATTCCATTAGCTACCTACCATATGGTGAGAAGTAAGACCATGTGCTAAAATCGTGCGTGTGTATGTGTGACTGTCCAGGGCGACTCTCGATGACCTGACTAGCGACGAGGAGACGGGCCTAGGCAGAGAGGGCAGCCTATCATCAGAGACCATAGAGACCAGGACCACTGCCCAGTGTTTCAGCCAGATGTACCGCAAGTCCCTACGCCTCACCTCCGATCAGATAGTATGTCATCACTGCCACACACACACACTACCACTACCTCATGATCCCTACCCTGTGGTAATTTCCCTGCCCTCTCAGTAAGCCATCTTAACCTTGTGATTGTGTTGTGGTCAGGAGCGGTTGAACCTACGGGAGGGGGCCAACAAGGTTGTGTTCAGCGTGACCACTCAGTACCAGGGCACCTGTCGCTGCGAGGCCGCCATCTACCTGTGGAACTGGGACGACCGCGTCGTCATCTCAGACATCGATGGCACCATCACCAAGTGAGCTGAATGCTTTCACCAAGTGCTACTGAATGCCTTTAGGGATGGTTTATCACGATCAGAGCACAGTATGATGTGTGTGTGTGCACCCAAATACAGTGGGGTCCGAAATGATTAACACCGTTGATAAAGATTAACAGTAATGACTGTATAAATTAAATAATTAAATACTGAGCTATATTGTATGCTCCAAAAAATTGGGAAATTATTTTATACTAATCAATTGCTCAGAGAAAGAGATTTTGTTTAACAAGTAAAATAAACTATTCTCAGAAAGGTAGTGGTCATAAAATATTGACACTCCAAAAGATTCTTATAAATAAAGTAGTTATACTTAATATAAAATGACTCAAGTGAAAGTCACCAGTAAAATACTACTTGAGTAAAAGTCTAAAAGTATCTGGTTTTAAATGCACTTAAGTACAGTTGTGGGGAAATTATTCAATTGTCATACTTAAAAACATTCAATTCCTTATATTACGCAAACCAGACAGCACAATTGTCATTGTATTTATTTACGAACAGCCAGGGGCACACTCCAGCACTCCGACATCATTTACAAACGCAGTATTTGTGTTTAGTGAGTCGCCAGATCAGAGGCAGTAGGGATGACAAGGCGTTATATTGATAGGTGTGTGAACTAGACCAAATTGCTATCCTTCCTGAGCATTTGAAATGTAATGAGTACTGTAAAGGATTTTTACTTAGTTACTTTTGTGCAGACTGTCAGCTTTAATTTGAGGGTATTTTCATCCGTATCTGGTGAACCGTTTAGAAATTACAGCACTTTTTGTACATAGCCCCCCCATTTTAGGGAACCAAAGTATTTGGACAAATTCACTTTAATATACAGGTATGTGTATTAAGAGTCAAACGTTTAGTATTTGGTCCCATATTCCTAGCACGCAATGACTACATCAAGCTTGTGACTCTACAAACTTGTTGGATGCATTTGCAGTTTCTTTTGGCTGTGTTTCTGATTATTTTGTACCCAATAGAAATTAATGGTAAATAATGTATTGTGTCATTTTGGAGTCACTGTTATTGTAAATAAGAATATAATATGTTTGTAAACACTTCTACATTAATGTGGATGCTAACATGATTACGGATAATCCTGAATAAATCATGAATAATGATGAGTGAGAAAGTTAGAAGGTCAAAGATCATACCCCCAAGACATGCTATCCTCCGCTGTTATTGGTAATGGTGAGAGGTTAGCATGTCTTGGGGGTATGATCTTTGACCTTCTAACTTTATCACTCATCAAATATCATTTTAATTGTCACATGCTTACCTTCCCAACAATGCAGAATACAATAAAGAATAACAAATAAAAATAGGAAGAACAAAAGAGACACACAAGGAATAATTACACAATGAGCAATGATAACATGGCTATATACATGGGGTGCCAGTACCGAGTCAATGTGCAGGGGTATGAGAATTGAGGTGGATATGTATGGGTAAAATGACTAGGCAACAGGATAGATAATAGACAGTAGCAGCAGTGTATGTGATGAGTGTGTGTGTGTGTTCGAGTGTAAGTACACTACATGACCAAAAGTATGTGGACACCTGCTCCTCGAACATCTCATTCCAAAATCATGGGCATTAATATGGAGTTGGTCCCCCCTTTGCTGCTATAACAGCCTCCACTCTTCTGGGAAGGCTTTCCACTTGATGTTGGAACATTGCTGCGGGGACTTGCTTCCATTCAGACACGAGTTTAGTGAGGTCAGGCACTGATGTTGGGCGATTAGGGCTGGCTCGCAGTCGGCTTTCCAATTAATCTCAAAGGTGTTCGATGGGGTTGAGGTCAGTGCTCTGTGCAGGCCAGTCAAGTTCTTCCACACCGATCTCGACAAACAATTTCTGTATGGACCTTGCTTTGTGCATGGGGGCATTGTCATGCTGAAATAGGAAAGGGCCTTCCCCAAACTGTTGCCACAAAGTTGGAAGCACAGAATAATCTAGAATTGAATTTTATGCTGTATCGTGAATATTTCCCTTCACTGGAACTAAGAGGCCTAGCCCGAACCATGAAAAACGGCCCTAGATAATGATTCTTCCTCCACCAAACTTTACAGTTGGCACTATGCATTGGGGCAGGTACAAACCCAGATTCGTCCGTCGGTCTGCCAGATGGTGAAGCGTGATTCATCACTCCAGAGAACGCGTTTCCACTGCTCCAGAGTCCAATGGCGGCGAGCTTTACACCACAGCCGATGCCTGGCATTGCACATGGTGATCTTAGGCTTGCTCGGCCATGGAAACCCATTTCATGAAGCTCCTGAAGAACAATTATTGTGCTCACGTTGTTTCCAGGGGCAGTTTGGAAGTCTGTAGTGAGTGTTGCAACCGAGGACAGGCGAGTTTTACGTGCTACGCACTTCAACACTCGGCGGTCCCATTCTGTGAGCTTGTGTGGCGTACCACTTCGCGGCTGAGCCGTCGTTTCCACTTCACAATAACAGCACTTACAGATGACCGGGGCAGCTCTAGCAGGTCCGAAATTTGATGAACTGACTTGTTGGAAAGATGGCATCCTATGACGGTGGCACGTTGAATGTCACTGAGCTCTTCAGTAAGGCCATTCTACTGCTGATGTTTGTCTATGGAGATTGCATGGCTGAGTGCTTGATTTTATACACCTGTCAGCAACGGGTGTGGCTGAAATAGCTGAATCCACTAATTTGAAGGGGTGTCCACATACTTTTGTGTATATGTATGTGTGTGTGTGTGTGTGTGTATATAGAAGCTGTTCAGGTGTCTTTTGGTCCCAGACTTAGCGCTCCGGTACCATTTGCCGTGTGATAGCAGAGAGAACAGTCTATGACTTGGGTGGCTGGAGGCTTCAACAAGTTGTAGGGCCTTCCTCTGACACCGCCTGGTATAGAGGTCCTGGATGGCAGGAAGCTTGGCCCCAGTGATGTACTGGGCCGTACGCACTACTCTCTGTAGCACCTTGCGGTCGGATGCCGAGCAGTTGCCATACCAAGCAGTGATGCAGCCAGTCAAGATGCTCTCAATGGTGCAGCTGTAGACCTTTTTGAGGATCTGAGGGCCCGTGCCAAATCTTTTCAGCCTCCTGAGGGGCTTGCCCACATTGAGAGAGTGGTTGTTATCCTGGCACCACACTGCCAGGTCTCTGACCTCCTCCCTATAGGCTGTCTCATCGTCGTTGGTGATCAGGCCCACCACCGTCGTGTCATTGGCAAACATGATGATGGTGTTGGAATCTTGCGTGGCCACGCAGTCGTGGGTGAACAGGGACTACAGGAGGGGACTAAGCACACACCCCTTTGGTGCCCCCGTGCTGAGGGTCAGCGTGGCGGAAGTGTTGCCTTCCTTCACCACCTGGGTGCGTCCCGTCAGGAAGTCCAGGATCCAGTTGTAGAGGGAGGTGTTCAGTCCCAGGGACCTTAACTTAGTGATGAGCTTGGAGGGCACTATGGTAATGAACGCTGAGCTGCAGTCAATGAACAGCATTCTCACGTAGGAGTTCCTTTTGTCCAGGTGGTAAAGGGCAGTGTGGAGCGCAGTAGAGTTTGCATAATCTATTGATCTGTTTGGGCTGTATGCAAATTGGAGTGGGTCCAGGGTTTCTGGGATGATGGTGTTGATGTGAGCCATGACCAGCCTTTCAAAGCATTTCATGGCTACAGATGTGAGTGCTACGGGGAGGTAGTCATTTAGACAGGTTATCTTGGCGTTCTTGGGCACAGGGACTATGGTGGTCTGCTTGAAACATGTAGGTATTACAGACTGGGTCAGAGATGTTGAAAATATAAGTGAAGACACATGCCAGCTGGTCATGCTCTGAGTACTAGTCCTGGTAATCTGTCTGTCCCTGTGGCCTTGTGAATGTTAACCTGTTTAAAGGTCTTACTAGCATCGGCCTAGCGGTTAGGAGCATTGGGCCAGTAACCAAGCCGCCTAGGTGAAAAATGTGTCTGCCCTTGAACAAGTTAGTTGCTTTGGATAAGAGCGTCTGCTAAATGACAACATTTTAAAATGTAAATTATTCACGATTCATTCAGGATGATCCGTAATCATGAGCAATTGTATTAGTATAATATAATTTTCAAATTTTGAGTATACAATATAGCTCAGTATTTAAATTATTTATTTTTTACAGTAATTTTTGCTCATCTTTATCAAGGTGTCAATAATTTCGAACCCCTGTGTATATGTGTGTGTGTGTGTGTGTGTGTGTGTTCAGTGATTTACGAAGTCTCTGCTTACTCGTCATAGGTCTGATGCTCTGGGGCATATCCTACCTCAGCTGGGGAAAGACTGGACACACCAGGGCATCGCCCGACTGTACCACAAAATACACCAGTAAGTGCCTATGCTCACACCAGGGTCATGTTCAGTAGGGCACACCGTAGCAAAATGTTTTGAAACGAAAATGAGCATTTCTTGTTGGACACATTTTCTTCTGTTTGATACATAAAGAACATGAAGCAGCCTAAAGATCCCCTCCATTTTACTTTTACTGTGCATGCATTGGTGCTGAAACACTTGTCGTGACCAAAAATTGTGACATTGTGACACTTCCTGGTCTGAATACGCCATGCTGAGCTTCTCATTGGAAGCTGTTGATAACTGACAAGAATTTTCTATATTTCTCTCCCTATATTTCTCTCACGCTCTTTCTCTCTCCCTCCTAGGAACGGCTACAAGTTCCTGTACTGTTCGGCACGGGCCATCGGCATGGCCGACATCACCAAGGGCTACCTGCAGTGGGTGAACGACAAAGGCACCGTCCTCCCCAAGGGCCCCGTGCTGCTGGCCCCCAGCAGTTTCTTCTCTGCCCTGCACAGAGAGGTGGTGGAGAAGAAGCCAGAGGTGTTTAAGATCGCCTGCCTCACCGACATCCGAGACCTGTTCAATCCCCAGAGGCAGCCCTTCTACGCAGCCTTCGGTAACAGGACCAACGTAAGCCCCACACACACGTACAGTACTAACACAGGCCGTGTCTGATTCCCCGACTTGCGTCCTATGAGAAATTAGGTATGAGAAATTAGGACGTTTTATAGTATTTGAAATTGTGAAAAGGTTGTGTGCTTTAAATGCCAGGATGTCATGCTCATTTCGGCTTTTCATCTAGTATAATTCACTATTGAGGAAGACCCACGTGTCTTTGACCACAGCTGTAATCAGCTGATAATCAGATAAGGGGATGGGCTGTTCCAAAATGAACCAATGGCGGGAAACAACATGCACTTTAGATTACGCATTCTCAGTATTGGTGAGCCTAGTATGTTGACAGGGCTTGACATTAACGCTTGTCCAGGACAAGTAAAACAAATTGTTCATTCAGACAACTTAAATCTATATTCTGCTTGTCCAACAAGTAAAAAAATCACAATATCAAACAATTACTCCGATCAGTTGAGCATTGCTCTCCCAATCTCTGCATAGCGCATTGTAGTATAATTATTGTAACGCGTATGTGCAAGTGGGCCGTTGCTCGAGGAGAGAGAGAGGGAGAGAGGAACATTGCAGTAGTTAGCCTATGAAATCATGATAGACAACAGACAGCCAATTCAAAACATATCGTGTAGTCTGGCAAATTTATTTAGGTAGTTAACTGTTTAGCTATTTGCATGTATTAATGTAATTTGTTATGTCCTATGCCCTAAAAACATTTCACCAGCACTTGTGAATAACCGCAAATGGCCGACACGCATTGGAACGGGTGCATTCATAAAACCAATGCAACATAGCCTACTTCGGTTGTAAAACTGTCTCTCAAGTGCTCAATATCAGGAGTTGAGAAAAACATCTGACACTGTTGGAAAACTGGGATTCCCCTCAATTCAATATTGGCCATGTAATTTTGACAACGTTAAAGAATGTTCTTAGAATAGCCTAATTGACAAATGGCTCCCATGCTGTCAATAGATCTCTCCTGAAACCTGAATTGAGAGACATTTGTCAAAAGTTTGTCTTAAAGTGGCGGTGTGGAATTTTGAGACAGGCTTGAATGCAAAAAGGGTAGCCTACATTTTTGTCTGATTCTTTGTATGGCAATAATAATGATGATGATTTTTATTTTGTAAAGTGGTTCCTTTCAACATACAATACAATTTTCAGTCACTTTTTTGGCCAATGGTGTTACAGACCATTTTCTATTTTTGGAAAGGTGACTTGAGCTTTCGGACAAGTAAAAACTCTGTCTAAAAAAAGTTAATGTCAAGCCCTGGTTGATATTTGTTGCTTACTGTGTGGCAGTTCGGGCACACACACACACACCGCCGACTCACTTTCTATGTGTTTGGCCTGTGTTTCTAAATCCATTCCCTGGGAGATGGATTGAGGTGTTTCTAATATATTTTCAATCAAGTTTGATTTGAGTGTTGTTGTTATTTCAGGATGCCTATGCTTATAAGAAGGTGGGTGTCCCTGACACCAGGATCTTCACTGTGAACCCCAAGGGAGAGCTCATTCAGGAGAAGACCAAAGGGAACAAGTCATCGTAAGTGTACTACCCAACAGAGAAGAGTGACAGTGGTCAGTCCACTCCTCATAAGTGCACTTTGGATAACACATGCAGTACAGTTTTCCAGTCCCAATTCAATTACATTCTTTAAAAAAGATTGCTCATGATAACTGCATGCTCTGGTTTAGAGCATGCTGTCATGTCAGGTCCAATTCGCTGAATATACAGTATCAGTTGACTCCTGATGAGTAAAACTGAATTCATAGAGCTGCAAAGCTGCGATGGCTCCAGCACATTATGCTCTTGTGTGTTTTGTGTGTCACAGGTACACTCACCTCTGCGAGCTGGTGGAGCACTTCTTCCCTGAGATCTCCAAGGATGGGACGTCATCCTCCTTCCACTGCCCTGAGTACAGCCACTTCTCCTACTGGAGAGAGCCCCTACCACCACTGGACCTGTCCTCTCTGGACTAGACACGCGCATACAACTGGACCAATCCTCTCTGGACTAGATGCGCGGATGCACACACTCTTTCTTTCCTCCCCTTTGCTCTCTCTCTCTCTCGTTCCTTCTCTCTCTCTCACTTTCGATCCCTTTCTGAATTCAGAAATAGTTTTACTAAGCGTTCATTGCCTGGAATATTCTAGATGTGAAAGGTTCTCATTTAATATACTCTATATTCTTATATTCTGTGTCATTCATCTGATGAAATAGAGAACAAAACTAAAGTGTATGGCTTTCAAATAAATTACTGGGACACACATGCACAGAGCCAAACTGAGACAAAATATGAACCGATGACTGTTAATTTTACGCAACACCGTATATTTGATATTGTGGAATATTGATTGCAAAAAGTCACTGCACTGGCTGTGCCATATTGCCATTATCCAAACGATACTGGAGCAAGGTGCATTTGCGCTGCTCAAGAGTTCCAAAAATAGTTTTTCCATATTATATCACTATTAGCATACCTGCATACTAGTATACAATATGAATTATTACCTCCACGTACAGACGCAACTGGACAAAAACACCCTATTTTAGTTTTAGGTTGGTTAAAAAAATTAAAATATTTTCCACTATATTGCCTGAACTTTGTACTTCATTTCATGTATGCATACCGTTCCATCCTATATATTGTTCTGAAAAACATATTTATTAGCTCATTGTACAATTGTGTGCAAAACATGGACCAATACAGCTTCTTAGCGTAGAAAAGGCATTGTAAGTAAGCATTTAGCTTAACTAAGCCCTCCAAAAAACAATGCCAAACAATTTGAGTATTTATGCTTTGTGTTCTAGTGGGACTGATCTGGACTGGTCCAACTTTCTCTCTGCCTGTACTCGCTGTAGTGCATTGCAGTGATGTTGACTACTCAGTAGGCTACTTTAAAGGGATAGTTCACCCAAATTCCTCCCTGTTTTTCTTTACTTTAAAAGTAGTCGATAGACTATGATAGACTGCAGTTTCACTCTTCCCACGTGATGGTGGAACATTGAATGTCAACGTGACCAAGTAACCGTTCTTAGGGTTTTACATTAGATGAGTAAAGGACAAACCTTTTTCTTTTTACAGTGCTCAAATTAGATCAGTGTAAAAACTCAAAAAAAGCAACAGAAGTGTGTGTGCATGTTGACCCTAAAAAGTATATTGTAGCTTGAAAATACAGTCCGTGTAATGGAGAAAATGTGCTGAGTTGTAGCCTAACGTGATGAGTAAGCCCGCCTGAGACCAAAAGGACTCGGAACTGTTGCTTTTGACTGGAAGCTAGCTTTTTGATCTAGTTTATAGATGACTTCGCTATGTATTTTGGAGCTCTTGCGTCAAGGATTTGGTAGCAGTTGGATACACAGGCCCCAACCAGAAACAATGCCTAGCCCCTGCCCCCACAGCAGTCAGGATGGTGGATCAGGCTTCTTGCCCCCTGGGAAAATTATTGTTTCAGATCTACACAAGAGACGAGGGAGTAGGGCCTGCGGTTGTTTCAGGACAGGGGAAATGGCAGAGTAGGTTAGGGGTTCATTCTAAAGTCAGGGCTAATGCTATAGCCCCTCATTAGCTTTAGTTCCACAAAGGTTTGTTATGGGAGAGATCTGGGCAGAATGTGTGTTGCTACTACTAGTTAACAGTAGGCTCGGATCACACCTCTCCCTTTAAGGTACTACACTACATGGTTTCGAGCTGAGCCAGATAGATATCTATATATGGTTTTGATATGGTTTCATACTAGGCCATATGTAAATCGGGTGGTTCAGAGTCGGACACATTCCAGGGTTGAGTAAATAGAACCAGTTGGGGAATTGAAATGGCCATGGTCTGGTTTGACACGGTGCCTTTTGCTTATATGATTCATAAGCTTTTATATGCATTGATATTTCTAAATATATTGTGTAATGTCATCCAAAGTAATACCATGGGCTCTGTGTGGAGACTAGAGACTTTGCATTGGACCCGAAAAGCCCTGTCGTTGCTGTATGTTTTTATCAAATTATCTTAATATGAAGTAAATAGTGTAAAACCCACCATGTTTATTTTTGTCTTATTTTGTCTGAGTTGAGTTAGAACATGTGCTTTGCTGTTTGTCATTTCTGATCATTTAAAAAGTAGCCTACTGCCGCCCGGTGAAGGAAACGCGCCCTGTGTGAAACATTCTGTGACAAACAGTGACATGTACTCTGAATGACCTAACATGATAAATCCCATATTGGTCTTTCACAGTCAGGCCAACCCAACCTGTACTGTGCAAGTAGGCTAATAGTAGCCCTACTATTGAAACAGATAAATGAGGCTGTCAACTGAGTCAGAAATTCACAGGTTTCAGTTCTATTTTTATTTTTTTAGGTCCTGGAAAAATCGAAGAAATTTGAGTGTAGTTTATGAAGTTAAATCTTTGACAATGATTTTAGCGTATAGAATAGACGTGTAGTTGTAAACATCATTTGCAAGTGTGTAAATAATGAGTTGTGAACATGAAAGAATAATCTGTAGTTGTAAGCACATTCTCGAACATGTAAATGATGAGTTGTTTAGTTTATTAGGATCCCCATTAGCTACTGCACATGCAGCAGCTACTCTTCCTGGGGTCCACATAAATTGTGCAAATACAAGACAAAGTACAGAGCAGTAAATAGATAAGAACACCATAAGATATAACATTCAATTCCAAATAAAAAATGTAATGTCATACACTGAGCGTACAAAACATTAGGAATACCTTCGTACCACAGTGTGAGTCATAATAGCCATAAAACCTAGCGGTAAAACCTGAAAGTGGTTCCAATTGTTTTTTCACCATTAATTTTTGCGTCAGGGATTTTTGAACTACTTCATATACGGTCTGTGTTTCGTGTAGGCTTACCCTGGCGTCACGTTTTGATAACTGTGCAAATCTCTGTTAATGTGGCTATCATACAGAACTACACATCCTATCGCAAGCGTTGACGTCATCCCTCTAGGCCAGGGGTGTCAAACTCATTTTAGCTCAGGGGCCACATGGAGGAAAATCTATTCCCAAGTCGGCCGGACCGGAAAAATCATGGTATATATAACTTAAAAACAACAACTTCAGATTGTTTTCTTTGTTTTAATATGATCAACATACAACATAAAGCTGGAGCCTGAGGACAGTGTGTCCAAAATAGTACAAGCACAACATCACTATTAATCATAAAACACATCAAGTTTATTTGAAAATTCTAAAGAAAAAGAACACACAAACACACAATGCCTCAGTGATTAACAAACCTGTTTCACAGATCACAGAACTATATCAGGGTGTCATTTCTCAGGCAGAAATGTAGATAAAAATAATGAAATCCTGTTCCCCAAACAAGTGCAAGAACCACAGAGTCAAGAATAGGTTAAATATACAAATAAAATAAAATCAATTAAAAACAATAGCACATCAACATAAAAATATATAAATATAAATCTGAAAGCGTTGCTCAAACTCCCGTAACAGTCCCGTTATTTTATCTTTGAACCGCTTCATGTCTGCCACATGTTGGGTCGCGCACACATTTTTCAGACAGGGGAAGTGAGCTGCATCACCACCGGCAAGTTGCGTCTCCTACAATGACAGCTTCAACTTGAAAGAACGTATGCTGTCATAATACTGCGTGACAACTTTGTTGCGCCCTTGCAGCTGTTTGTTCAAGTTATTCATGTTACTCTGTAACATCCACCATAAATGCAAGGTCCTGCATCCATTCTGCGGAATGAAATTCTAACACTGGTTTGCCCTTTTCTTCCATGAACTGTTCAATTTCTTCTCGTAAATCAAAGAAACGCCTCAGCACAGCACCTCGGCTTAACCATCTTACCTCAGTGTGGTATGGCAGGCCATAGATGTGGTCTTTCTCTCTGAGAAGGCTGTCAAACTGACGGTGATTCAGGCTTCTGGATCGGATGAAATTAACAGTTTGGATGACCACCTTCATGACGTTATCCATCTTTAATGACTTGCAACACAAAGCCTCCTGGTGCAAAATACAGTGAAAAGTCAAAAAATCACGTCCTCCATTTGCAGATTGCAATTTCTCTCTGAACTTTGTCACAACGCCTGCTTTTTTCCGATCATTGAGGGCGCACCATCTGTAGCCAGGCTGACAGCGCGGGACCAGTCCACTCCGACCCTGTCCAGCGCGCCGACGAGTGCGGTAAAAATATCAGCTGCTGTCGTTGTATCTGTCATCGGCACCAACTCCACGAACTCCTCGGTGACGGTCAATGTGTCATCAACTCCGCGGATGAAAATGGCCAGTTGTGCAACATCTGTAATGTCCGTGCTTTCATCAATTGCAACCGAAAACGCAATAAATGACTTTACTTTTTGCTTCAACTGGCTGTCCAAATCCACTGAAAGATCGGAAATCCTGTCTGCAACTGTGTTACTTGTCAGGCTGATATTTGCAAAAGCCTGCCGCTTTTCAGGGCACACAATCTCCGCTGCCTTCATCATGCATGTTTTTACAAATTCACCCTCACTAAATGGTTTTGAAGCCACTGCGATTTCATTAGCAATGAGGTAGCTAGCTTTCACTGCAGCGTCACTGATGTCTCGGCTGTGAGTAAACACAGACTGCTGTTTCTTCAGACCCGCCAACAGTTCATTCACCTTCTCTCATCTCCGCTGTCCTTGAAAGTTGTCATATTTGTCGGCATGAAGACTCACATAGTGGCGACAAAGGTTATTTCTTTCAGCACTGCAACATGCTCTGAACACACCAAACATACAGCTTTCCCATTCAATTCCGTGAATAAATAGGATGACCATTTTTCTTGGAACACTCTGCACTCTGCGTCCACTTTTCTCTTTTTTGACAGAGACATATTGGGGCAATGAGGGTGCCAAAGCACATAATGTTAAAAGTAGAAGTCGTAATAAATATCGCGGGCAAAACAAAGTAGCTAATTGGCTGCACGTGCTTGACCTACTTGCTCTGCCCCGGT